ACTTGGGTTGGCAGTGACAAAAGTAGGAATTACAATGTTTCGATTTAAAGCTTTCGTGACTGCAGGGATTCATCTTCTTGGTTCTTTCGGTAAAGTCACGTAGAAGGGAAGTAATAAAATAATAAAAATAAAACAATAAATTGTATTTTATTACGTTTTATTTTTATTATTTTATTACTTCCCTTCTACGTGACTTTACCGAAAGAACCAAGAAGATAGTTTAGTTTAATTTCTTCTCCAGTATCGTAAATACAGTAATTAACAATCGTTCCTTTTGATTTGGCACGTAACAATTTACCGTCCTTACTGAATCCTCTGTTGGATGAAGGATGCCCCGTGCCTTTGCATTCATGGATGTTGTGTCACCACACTTCACCGTGTTGGTCAAGGGATAGACCCAGGACCAGTTCAGATATTACTCACCATTGGTGAGTCACCACTCACTGCTGAAACTCCGGTTACTGGGCTCATAGCACAGTGGCACAAGCTACTGCAACCACCACCACTCAGCGTCATCGTAAAAAAAATACTTGGGTTGGCAGTTTACCGGTCAAACTAGAAATTTCCAACGAAAGATAATTTCTTCCACTATTAGTGTCAGTACAGTAATTAACAACCATTCCTACGAAAGATTATTTCTTCCACTATTAGTGTCAGTACAGTAATTAACAACCATTACTTTTGAATTTGCAGGTAATTTACAGTCCTCACTTAATCATATGTTGTATGAAGTTACGCCCCATGCCTTGTATTAATCGAGGTTGTGTGACCATACTTCACCACGTTGGTCAAGGGATCGTTCCAGGACCATTTCGCACAGTGGCACAGGCCACTGAACCACTCCACCTCCACAGACACAAAGGTCATGGTTTAAAAATAATAATTTTAAAACTTGGGTTGGCAGTGACAAAAGTAGGAATTACAATTTTTCGATTTAAAGCTTTCGTGACTGCAGGGATTCATCTTCTTGGTTCTTTCGGTAAAGTCACGTAGAAGGGAAGTAATAAAATAATAAAAATAAAACATAATAAAATAATATAATAATATAATAAAATAAAATAATCTAATATAAATATAATATTATTTTATTATTTTTATTTTTATTATTTTATTACTAGGAATTACAATGTTTGCTGTTCTTCATTTTGTAGGCAGCATTGAATGTGCACATTGTTTTCTTTTTTAGAAATTTGCAAACAGCAACCCCGCTCAATAAACCTATTCTGCTGATTGACATTTGGCAAATCCCAAGGTCAGGCGAAAGAGAATGGTACACGTTTAAACAAACCCTGGCAGTCCGTTGCACACACGAGAATACATTTTGAAAGACGGATTAAACAAAGATAAGTGTCCTTAAAACAATCTTCAGCAAGAGACCTTGAAAGTGTGGAAGTCGGAGGGCAATCATTTACCCATGTAACCTTATTTGCTGTAGCGATGGAATTCGCTGCTGAAGATGCATTGCATGCTTTCCAATGATGGCAATACAGTGCCACGATTCTGCATACAATCCTGCTCTTTGATCACATTAGCCATGATACATCATCCACTGAACTACGACAATTATCTGCACTCTGCATTGATTTACATATCGATGCCAGCTGCTTCTTGTTCACATTATGATAATTAAGCTGTGCATTTATTAAAATTAAGTCCAGTACTTTATGCAGCGAAGATCTCGGACATTCCATCTCATTGGGGGGGCCATGCTTCGGTGACCGGAAAAGTATCGCTGGCCGCCAATTAATTTTTTTTTAAACATGAAACTAAAACCTGTGTGCACGTGTATCGTAGTACATAGAGCAGTGTGTGCATATTCTTAGGTTTTTTTCGGTAAAGTCACGTAGGTAAAACATTAAAATTAATAAAAGTAAAATAAAATAAAAATCACGACGTTTCGGAGGCAACACAAGCTTCCGTCTTCAGGTGGAACCGTCACAGCCACGACAGCTGTATCAAGTAAATGAGAGATTACAAGAGCTACCACTCCGTATATATAATGGTTGGAGAGGGGAAGGGCCAAGTACGGCACACTTTTATTAATATGGTAAGGTGACGCTTAAGAGGCTGAGCCTTTGTTATGGAGAGGCCCGGTTTGTGACTAAGCCTGGCCTACATAACAATAGTGTGAAAAAAGAAACAACTACACATGGCAGTTTGACTCTCCAAAGCCAAACGCAGCAACAACGCACTTGATGTATTCCGTGACGAGCACTGCTTTGTAGCCATCTCTGTAAGTGGGATATCGGTCGGTTCGGCATTCTTGTCCTCCATCCCCCCTCCACCACCCCCCCATCTCCCCCCTCCCCCATCACCAATCGCCCTCACCTCCATCTCATATCTCCCCCCTCCTCCATCTCCCCCCTTCTCCCCCCCCCCTTCTCCATCCACTATCTCCCTTCTCCATCCCACTCCGCTCCCACTCCCCCATCTCTCCCCCCCCCCATCCGTCACCACCCCGCCATTGCAAGTGCATTTAATACACTTTAAATGCTAAATACTTACTAGTTTAGACATACATGATACAACACCTTCTTGGTTCTTTCGGTAAAGTCACGTAGCATGGAAATAATAAAATAAAAAAAATACAACATAATAAAATAATTTTATTATGTTTTGTTTTTATTTTTAAATAATAAAAATAAAGCATAATAAAGTAATTTTATGTTTTATTTTTATTCTTTAATTATTTTTATTATTTTATTATTTCCATTCTACGTGACTTTACCGAAAGAACCAAGAAGATGAATCCCTGCAGTCACGAAAGCTTTAAATCGAAATGATACAACACATTTTTGTGAATTTTATCATTTTTTAAAAATTACTATACAACAGGTATTCAGTAAATAATTTTCATGTAATTATACTTTTATTATATTTTTTAGATAATTAATTTCAATTGGCTGAAAAACTCTGGCTAGCCGGGGTTTTCGTGTGAAAAGAGCTTCGGACGAGGTAAGTACAGCTAGACTTCATGGTTTATTCGCAGATAATGTGCAGACACGTCGAGACCATACTTATAGAGGCTTCACCCCAGAATGCACCCCGAGCTCTCTCTCTCTTGGGCCCCTTATATACCCGTACACCCCTTTCTAGCAGGTTCTCCTCTCCTCCTCCAATCCCCTTTTGCCTTGTCCAACGGTTTTCAACCGTCCCTTATTCATTAAATTAGTAATCTTCCCACATCTTCCCTTTGCACCAATCTGACTTGAAGGCTCCGATGCCTTCTGATCAGATTGGTGTGACGGCGTCACCGACCAAGGCGGTTGTCAGTGGCTCTGCTACTTTTAAACTTGGCCTGCCTGTGAAGTCGTTAAGACTTTTCTGGCAGACTACCCCACACACAGACATCGGGTTGGCCGCCAGGCCTAAACCTTAGAACATGCATAGCCACTTGTCCTTGGGTGATTGATTCAAATTCTAATTATGTTCTTGAAAGAAGTGCTGGGAAGCTTAAATTCGCACACTTATAGTCGAATCGATGCTCATGAGTAGCGACATCCACATGCAAAAAATGTTTATTTATTTTACTGATTTACCCATTAAAGCCACATTTTTTCAGGAGAGTTCCTGCATTAGGTTATTTTAAGACCTTTCCGCCAATTAATGAGTGTTTATACGTGGACAGAGACTGGAGCACCCGGAGAACACCCTACGCATGCGAGGGTAGAACACTCAATGCCCGAACAGATAGAAACAGGTGGCGATTGGTTCCACTTGCTGTACTGCCTTCTCCTGGCGAGCCAGGGTATGGCAACCTCGACACCCACAGGAAGGGAGTCGCACAACATTCGTACAATTCGCCTCCCAAAAAACACCACAATCCACCACAGCAACACTGTACACAAGTCAACCACCACCATTTGCTCGGGTGACAATAACATCACGACTATTATATGAAGTCCTATTGTGATAAATTCCTGGAGCAATTAACTGGTACGGTAGAAATGGAATTTAAAACACATACCTGCGGAGGGAGCTAGTAGGAACGTTGGGATGCTCGGTCAATGGCCAGGGTCAATGGCGGCGTGGTGTATTCCGCAAATATGCCCGACTGTGAGGGCGGGCACAAGCCGGCATGAGTAGGTTAAACGTTGAGTTTTATAAGGGCACCACGAGGTGACCAGCCCCTCCCCACCCAGCCCCTCCCCACCCAGCCCCTCCCCACCCAGCCCCAACCCTCCCATTTTTGGATACACGACGGATGGACGGACAAAATAAATCCCTGTGGGCTCGTGTAACCAGGAGGTTCCTACCAGTAATATGATCAGAATTACCGCTGCCAATGGGATGAACAAGGGCGATTCTGTTGTATTTCCCATGAGTAAGCCAACAAAGCACACCACGGTTGTGAGAGTACAGGGACTCCTCTACTTGTGATCGAGTTAGATTTCAGACGTCTGTTCGTAAGTTGATTTGTTCGTAAGTCAAACTTTTTACTTCTGTCCATTCCAAACATGTTGTACGGCATTTACACTAAACACGGGGAATGGCTTTAAGATTTGTATAATCTCCTGTAGATGTACATGCCACTGGTTCTTAATATGTAGATGCCAACACCGCTATCTGTTGCGCAACGTTTGAACTTACGACTCTCGGTCCGAACAGGCAACTGGACATACGGACAGTTTTGTTCGTATCTCTGAAAGTTCGATAGTGAAATGTTCGTAAGTCTCTGTCATAACTTACACTGCTGAATGAAGGCCTCCCCATGTGGTGGTGTTGTCTGGACTGTTTGACTGTACTATGCTGGTCAGTGTGGGATAGTAAAGGGGACCGGTTCAGATTATCCGCCTGCCACTGATGTTAGCCGTGGCCATAAATCAAACTCGGCTCACCAGTGCACAAACCACTGCAAGCAGCATTGCTCCCCTTCCAATCAGAGACCAGCAGTTTACGATTATTCTTCAACACATGATGTACGTACAACACAAAACCAGGATATACGATAATGTGCCAATGAATTATTTTAGACAAATAAAACAATCAGAGGCTATATATCCTTTGTAAATCGGTATTTATTTATTGTACTTTTTTTTGTTTATGTACAGGGCAAAAAATAGTAGGATGTAAAGTGTGCATTGAATTTCCACTCTGTTACTTACATCGGTCACATTCTTCAGTCAAAGCACCAGTATAATGTTCACGAAAGCGGAGGATGTTAACCTTAGGGCACCACTTTCAGTTTCCATTATACATCTCAACCTCTACAGCAACATACCTCTCAATTCCTCATCTTATACATGTACATTTTAATACCTGTTAAAAGACAACACCATTTAAAAACGTATCATTTTAAACCTACAAACCTATAAATGCGTAAAAGTGAACGATTATTTTTTCTTTGAGTTTTTCCGATTGGTATTAATTACTTGAAGTGTCTGGATGTGTTACATTGGAACTGTAGAAGAGGTCTCTGTTAGCAAGAGACACCAATGCTAAATATCCTTCCGAGTTCTACGGATTAACAAGGCTGTGAACAAAACATTAAAATCACCAGAATGTGCTATACAAATCAATTGTATGGCCTTTTAGAGTTCAATATATGAGTAATATATTGATGTTTAATCTAAAAATGCATGTAAAAAAACATTGCATTAAGGGGAATATGGTGGACGTTAAACATGACCCACTTTGCCCGACATTACTTGGTAAGTTGAACTCAATCCAAGAAGAATAGTTGATATTAGGTTTTAAAAATGTAGTCGGATTTTACAAGATTTTTTTGAACACCACAGCAGTTATGGATTATATTTTTTGTTAAGAATAACATCTCTTGGAAGACTGTCACAGGTTAATAACCAACACTGATTCATTACAAGGTGATTGGTAACGTCTGATAATGGAGTGAATTATTATACCCAGACTATGTCATGGAAGACACAAACTATAAACATTTTACAATCTACCACTAGATAACTTTAAAACGTCATGCCGAACGTATAACGAGAATGCACTCTTTCCTGCCAAGAGTGGGCATCCCACAGACAAACACGGGAACCAGTGACCAAAAGCCACGAATCGTGATTGCATCTGCCGCTGTGGAATTTTGTTGCAATGACTCGGGCACGGGGCGAACTGTCGCCTTCTCGCCAAAACTCTGATTTTCATCCTCCTCCAGCGCTAAACCGTCGTGTACATCGGCGTTTTCCCGCAAGAAAAACACCTCGACACACTTTATTGCATTGTTTTCTCTTGACGGTTCCAAATCCGTGCGTGGTGGATTTTTGTTTTGTTTAATTCGTTACTGGTTACACCGAAACATGAGTTTTACGCGTTGAAATTATCCACGCACAAAACACGCGCAGACTAATACATTCAAACACACGTGATAAACCCCACATGATATACTTTCACATGTTTGGCAACGATGCAGCGATCATGAACACTTACAGACATTTGCATTTTATGCTTAACTATATTCTACATCGAACTTTAGTGGTGCAATACGAGAATACAGACGTGCCCAGGTGGACAATTAGGTTCTAAATAATGATCCATAACATGTGGATTCTTCCATTGGTTCGGCTCACAACAATGCATAGAAATGCAGCTTCTATAGGATGGCACGTCGACTAGGATAGAGTCTTCGGAACAGTCAACACTTTGTGATCGACCATAACACTGAATACAACTGTAGAAATGTGCAGTCACTAACGAGAATCTATATATATATAACACCTGAAAGGGTACGAAGTTCCACAGCTTATTTCGAACACCAGTGCCATTGATCAATAACTGCTGCCAAATGCTGACGTGGTCGCAAATTGGGGAAGAATCCATATTGTTTTGTCATGGGAAATATTCATTCATCTTTACCGTCATTCGTATGAATATCTCCGCTCCATCATCCATCCTTTGCACAGCAGCATCCGATTACAAAGGAAAAGTTCAGCATCACGATAACACGGATCTATGTGGTACAAAATAAAAAATAAAAACCGCGACAATTATTTGTCTCATCTCGGGCACAAGAAATGCCCCCCGCACAGGAAAGGTTAATTTGTTTCTTTTTTTGCCGAGAGAAACGGCACGGGAATATCGATGCGCTCGTCACATGATGGTTTCGCAGAGCACCACCTTCTCGTCCGTGGGAGTCAGCGCGATCGGAGGGGTCGTCTCCACGTCCTGGATGCTCTGCGGGGCCGGCTCTGTCGGGGACATGTACTCCATGTGGTGGCAGCCCCAGACCGGGGTTGTCAGAATTCGCCAGCGCTGCAGACGGAATGGAGACAGAATCAGAATCTTTTATTCATCCTGGAGAAATTCGATGAGCTATGAAGCTGCTTTTCACGGATGTCCAGTAGGGGATGGGTCAGAAAGTTACAACAACAACAAACAATACAAATAAACGATAGAAGTGCCAGGTATAGGAAAAAAAAGCAAATCACTAAAAATGGAAACATCAAATAGATAAAGTATTCTAGACTTGAAGCTTTCGTGACTGCAAGAAATCATATTCTTAGGTGTTTTCGGTAAAGTCACGTAGGTAAAACATCAAAATTAATAAAATAATAAAATAAAATAAAGATCACGACGTTTGTGTTGCCTCCGAAACGTCGTGATCTTTATTTTATTTTATTATTTTATTAATTTTGATGTTTTACTTACGTGACTTTATAGATAAAGTATATATGTTCGAATTGGGCAAGGTAGAAAAACAACAGCAAAAGCAGTCCCAGACCACACCAAGGCAATACACAGTCCCTCAATAAAATAGCACATTCAGATTCAAATTGGTAGAGGTTGGTAGGTAGGGGAGAGGGTGGTTGTAAGTATGTTGAACTTTCGCACTGTACGTAGCCAGCCGTACTAATCGAGAGGTGCTGGAGAAGAACAACAGAGAGGAGTGGATCGGAAGTCAATCACCAGATGTCCTCACGCCTGCACCATCTGCTCATCCTCCTTGCTGGTATTTAGTAATCGTTCATCATTGTTATATAATTTCAATGGCCACAAAACTGTGAGGTGGCAGGGACATGTCAGTAGAGCAATGGATCGAATCCATCTATGGTGAGATTTGAGCGTTATCACCTCGTATGATAATCACCGCAGGAGGGAGAAACATCAAACGTGCAGTCTGCTTCAAAGCGGACGTTAAAAATCCTCCGATATCCTTCACACGAGTGTCTCATTATGTGCCAGTGTCAGGATCAAAATTTCCACGTTAGAAACTACCCGCAAATTACTCAATTGCGATCATACATAGCAAATATCGCCGCTACTGGCAGACTAATGCCGCTGGTCAACTCTTACTAATGAGACTATTTATCTCCGTGACCTTTCTTGCCAGTATCAACATGATAAAACAATTGAGACGATATCCTCATCTTTTGAGCTCTCACCTGGTTAAACAAAAGAAACATAACTTGCGTGGGTTTTTCTAGGTACTCTTGGCTTCCTTTATCACAGGCAAAAACACTCACGTGAAAAACTGCCTGAGAACACCAGGTATTGTAAGTACGCTTCTAAGCTGCACAGTGGTCAAGTGACTGATGTCAGTAAAGCAACGAGTTTTTGAATCTATCTATGCGGAGCTTTGAGCGTTACCCCCTCATGTATGTAGGGCCTATCTCCAGATTATGCCAAATGCTTCCCACAGATTTAGTCAGCGCAGTGCTCTGACCCAAGCCACTTGGGCGTGTCTAATTATTACCACACCGCGTGCTTTCAGATACGCTTCTGCGGCCGTCTGGAACGCTCTTCCCTCCGATATTAGAAAGCCACTGGAGCGATGCACTTTTAAATCATCTAGGTTGAAAACTCATTTTGTGACAACTGCTTTTTGTGTTTAGTTTGTTGTCCTTCCCCCGCACCTCCGATTAGCACGGTTCGCTACGTATGGTGTGAAAGAAGTTCAACATACATACATTATGTCGCTCTTTAGCCATGTCTCGGAAGTCACCAGCTCTAACATCCTGCAGGAATTTCTATTTAAAGCTTTCGTGACTGCAGGGATTCATCTTCTTGGTTCTTTCGGTAAAGTCACGTAGAAGGGAAGTAATAAAATAATAAAAATAAAACATAACAAAATTATTCTCTACGACGTTTCAGCCACAACGCAAGCAGCCGTCTTAAGGTGGAAAACAGGTCTGTCGAGAAGGCAGAGTCTTAATGTATTTATTATTTTATTACTTCCCTTCTACGTGACTTTACCGAAAGAACCAAGAAGATGAATCCTGCAAGAACTTTCCACTAAACAGGTGGGAGGTGGTGGAACGTTGTGGCAGCAGCAGCAGCAGCAGCAGCAACGCAGGTGGGTTTGGAGCAGGGATCTCACCTCCAGGAGGTTGCCCTTGGTACGTGCCAGGCGATAGATTGCCACGACCGGGATGCACAGCATGGACGAGAGGGCCATGCACCAGCCCAGCGCCTCGCCCCACCAGGGGTACACATACTCCTTGTTGTACGTCAGCGGCTTGTAATTCAGGAGGTTGAACAAGAAGATGCCCTGTCCGGTGGAAGCGTTCGAAATGGGAAATACAAACAAGGGAACACCACGGTGAATCAATACATGCAAACAGTGGTTGGGTAAATCTCAACTAGTTCAATACATTATTCTTGGATGTTAGCTCTGTGTACTCATGCATGCATCCTTTATTTATTTATGCCAAGTGAAAGTCCACTTATACCACAAACCTCTTTTCCATTGGTAAATATTTCAATTATTTAATTGAAATTTTCCTTGATTTAATTTTTTTTAGCTTAAAATTAAAACAAAAGTATGTTGTACCTTCAATGAGCACGAAACAAACATCTGAATTGATATCACGAAACATTGATGGATAGGTTCAACACAATGAGAGGTCTCGGTGTAGGTGTGCCGGTCAATTCTGGGGGAAGAGGTTGGCCACACTTCGCCATGTGGGTCACTCACTGCTGGTTAATGAAGGGAACAAATGTTGTCTGGCTTTTCACTGATATAGATGCCGCTCTATCCAGAATAGCTACTCAGGTCTACAAAGCACTGAAGCCTCTTCGCACATTGAAGAAGCCAATACAAATGATTACATATTCAAATGTATTTAAAATATATAAATTAAACCAAAACTAGTTAATATTTTATCAGGTAAGGCCCACTGAGCTATGTAGCTCTTTGTCAGAAGAGACCTGGCCACAAATGATAGCTCAACGAAGTGGCTTATCGCGTGGAAATTTAGAGCAGCCAAATACTCTCAACGCACGTTGATTCTAAATGTGTAGGGAAAAACCAGAGGACTCGGAGAAAAAATGCATGCAACCACTGCGGGGAGAACATGCAAACTCCAAATACGTGATCCAACCCACAACCATCTGTATACCAGGCGAGGGAGTTAAAATTTCGCCTGAGAGATGTTAACATCCTCAAATTTCACCTACCGTGCAAACACACGGTGTCACGAAGGCCCAGCACCAACGCATCCAGGGGAATGGGCGGTAGCCAATCATCAGAGCGATATTATCCATGAAGCGATCCCCACCTGCTCAACACACAAAGACAAAGATCCCCCGAATATTCTTAGGTTTTTTCGGTAAAGTCACGTAGGTAAAACATTAAAATTAATAAAAGTAAAATAAAATAATTAATTTTAATGTTTTACCTACGTGACTTTACCGAAAAAACCTAAGAATATGAATCCTTGCAGTCACGAAAGCTTCAAATCTAGAATCCCCCGAATAGCCTTTAACAGATTTCTGGGGCAAGTGCTGTTAGTGCCCACCTATGCATGCCGACACAGCACACAAGGGGCTGGGTGGCCAGTACCACACGTAGCCACCTTTGTCTCCCCGGTACCGATGTTTCCACTGCACATGGTACTTATTTAAGGCTGAGTCGACCTGCAAATAGGCCTGTCGATGTGTATATTTGTAATACATTCACTAAATAATTTCAGGCAGAGCTTTATCGAGGTAACAACCCAATGAAAAAGCATATCTTTTATATATAAAGGAGACCTAAGTAAATAAAGATACACCATGTGAATGCAGAATTTACGTAAAGAACAAAAACAACACGAATATTACTATTATACAACAACATTCCAATTGAACAAACAATGCAACATTAAGCCAAATGAAAATAATTTTATCGTATGAAAGCAAAATAAAAGGATGAAATCCAATCAAGAAATTAATACCCTCGCAACAATATTAAATACAATTTTAAACATAAATAATGTTTTAGCATGTGGAGTGGGGTTATTGTAAATAAGGAATCGTAGAGTTCCTGATCAATAAATATATTCACCCGTCTCTCTCCAGCATCGAGTGCCCTATCGGCTCACATCAGCCTCTCCATCTCAAACACTCTTCTCCCTCCCATCCAGGCTCACAAAAACATCACTGAATGAGGTGCAAACACAAATATTTAAGGACGTTTTGGCACTGCCATCGATCGACCACACCAAGACCGCAGGTCGGTGGCGGTTTTTTAATCTTCGTGCCTTTGCGTTCACACCGTGCGATCCCACTGAAGATTACGTAGCAGGGATAGTTTGCGGACAGATCAGATCGAATAATTGGTACCTTTGGTATCCGCGACGTTAATTCCCAGACCGCAAAGCTGTCGCGAAGGCACTGTTTCTCACAGACGCATCTCGTCTGTAGTAGGTTTAGTCGGGGGCAATGTTACTTGGTGGCTTCACCCAATTTTTGTACTTTGCGAGTGATTTTTCGAAATTGGACCATTACACCGGCAAACATTTTTTTTTTTACGCCACGCTACCTTTAACATCCGCTCATGAAGCACACGGTGCGTATTTGTGATTCATACACCCACGGTGTTAACACACCCACAGTGTTGACACACCCACAGTGTTAACACACCCAGGGCGGCCACTGGGCTCTAGCCATGAACCGCCGCGCGGAGCCACGTCGCCACCGCAACGCTCGAGCGTGCGTACCGTAGACCCAGGCAACGACGATGCACTCCCATCCCGCTTGCCACAGCAGGGTCATGCCGCTCGCAGAGTAGTAGTCAAACAGCTGAAACACATACATGCCGCCCTGCGGGACACACACACACACAAGGCCGACGTCAGCGTCTTTTCACGGCAAAGCGCCGCGCTGTGTGCGGTCACGTAAAACATGGCCGCTCCGCTTTGCGAAACGTCCCAGTGCGTCAACACGGGCTTTTGCAGCGTGGGTTTATGGCAGCGTAACAATTCGGAATATCCCGTTGGTGAATATTTATTTATTTTGCTTCTACACCGTGTTGTTATTGCGCAGGCAAATATTGAAAACAAATATCTGCTATGGCAAGTGGCCGGTTAGCACCGGTGCGATAACGCTGCGACGATGGTGGCACATTTTATCCCTTGTCGTTCCGGTCAGTGCGTTTCATTGCGTAACTTAACTAAACGCAAGATGTGAAGTGTGGCAAAGGCGCTTAAATGGGAAACTAATTTGAGGCTGGTGAATGTCACACACTGACAGCTGAATTGGCGCGGAGCCACACCAAGGATTGCTTTCACCGACGCTCACAATAGAGCACTTGTGTTGGCTCCGACATTCACGCACAACCGGCAACAGCAGCGAGCGTTCACACGGGCCGGGTTCGCCCGTTTGGAATTTCCACGGAGTTGACGAACATTCTGGCATGCAACGTTGACTGCTGAGGAGGGCAAGTGGGCTTGGGAAGAGACCAATGACCAAGTGGCAGCCAAAGGATGGAGCATGCCCGAAAGCCGTCCACTGGGGAGGTGGAGCAATGAAATCAGGTGGTGTGCAGGAGCTAGTCGAATTATTTCATTGGCACACCTCTAATGATTAATCATAAACATATATACCGGACACAATGAACAACAACAACCCTTCAGGTGGGCTTGGGCAGGATACATCACTTTAAGGGACGATGATTGACGGTCGAGACTAATGATGGAGAGACAGCCAATGGAGTGAACACGCTCAAGGGGATGTCCACCGCAGAGACGGAGCGAGGAAAGCGGCTCGCGGCTCAAGAGCTGGACGGGAATGTTGCAACGTAAACGGCGCGAGAGACGGCGACGGCTTGGGGAGACGGTCATCCACCGGGTGGACAGGTCGTGGCCGCTGGTGATAGTGACGGTGGCTCACCTCGGTGACCATGGAGATAGCGATGAGGAAGGAGGTGAAGCAGCAGACGCCCACGAAGACCTCGCGGCGGTAGCCGCCCGTGAGCGCGGCGGGGAAGAGGTCGGAAATTCCCGTCACGAAGCCTTCGACGCCAACAAACTGTGCGGCAGACCGAGCGTCGAGCAAAACGCGCGCGCTGATAAGGGTACAGTAGAACATAGACCATCATGCGAACCCCGGTCATCCTCGCAGCGGCTTTCGGCTCGCCGTCGAACAAAGACGGCCACCGCATCGCGCGATTTCAGATGCGCTTCTGCGGCCGTCTGGAACACTCTTCCTTCCGATATTAGGAAGCCACCGAAAGGTATATGGCACTTTTAAATCTAGATTGAAAGATAATCTCTTTAAAACTCCTTACGTTGAGTTTGTTATCCTTCCACCCGTACCTTCAATTAGCACAGTTGGCTACGTACAGTGCGAAATAAGTTCAACATACATAGGCTATGCAATAATTCACCACAACGGGATCAAAATTACAACTGTAGCCACTGCCACCATCTGTGCTGTCACCGTCCACCCACGCTGTGGCCCAGGCCCTCACCTGGCTGTCCAGCCCCAGCAGAATGAGCATGAAGAAGAAGAGAGCAGCCCAGAGTGGAGCCACGGGCATGAGGGACACGGCCTTGGGGTACGCGATGAAGGCAAGGCCTGGACCTGCAGTAGGCCACACACCAGCACAGCAGCCACCACCAAAAAAACACACAATTATATATCTTTTCTTTCTCCCCCGCCCCCCCCCCCCCCCCCCCCCCCCAATATTGTTGTAATCACGCTCTCGGCATGGGGTTGTGAGTTGAAGGCATTTTCATTTTCAACACTTCACCTTCCAGTGTGTGAACCTGCACGACACCGTATAAAACAATAACCCTGCAAAATCACATCGCAGAACGAATTCTCAAGTCACTTCAATCGAAAAAAGAAACTATATTTTTTATTTTGTTTTACCAGGTAAGGCCCACTCAATTAGATAGCTCTTTTTCAGAAGCGACCTGGCCACAAATAATGATTGCTCAACGAAGTAGCTTATCAGGTGGAAAATGCATACTGGTTCCAAATATGGTGGGGGATAACCAGAGGACGTGGAGAAAACTGCCACACGACCACGGAGAGAACGTGCAAACTCCAAATATACATGCGTCAGAGTCGGGATCGAACCCACGACCTCCTGCATACCGAGCGAGGTAATTAACATCTCGCCATCCATAGCTGGAATAAGCCAAATTAAGTACAATAAAAACAATAGCTTGTGTTCTTTTTCTTGCGCGAGTGACCAGGCTGAGACCATGAACTCACTGCACACCCGATGACCTAGTCTAACCACAAGTAGCTGAACAAACGACTTGAACCCAGGGACTCGGCAGTGCCCGCTCAGTGCTCTGGCCCTTGAGGTGCCAGCCAGCCAACTCAGAACACACGCACGCTTTACTGCAGTGGCAAGAGTACATCAAGTGCCCTCTCAGTTGTGCAACCTTCCCATGAACCTCAAAGACACTGGAGTTGTGTTCCTATCAACGGAATGTTAATAAAGATTTCCCCACATGCGTTGCACGAGACATTTATTATGAAGGCAGCTATCACCCATTTACAAGCATGTACACACATACCACGTGCTCGCACGTGTACCATACATATCAGTCTATATATGTCAGCTTACGTCACACGCACATGACTGAAATGTAAATGTATGGATTTTTTTTTTTAGGGCCCTTTGTCAATCTGCAGTTGAATTGATGCCTCCCCGTGCCGTGTCAGTCGCCGTAAACCCCCGTGCTGGTCTGTGCGCGTTGGTGAAGGCAGAGGCAGCCGGCACCAGTTCAGATATCACTTCGCCTCTGATGTTACCCGTCGCCGGCAAATCAAGTTGTTGGCGCGATGGCCTGATCGCCGAGACCGCCGCTCCGCCCCCTGCATTGCGGAGAGTAATATATCTGACCGTCACAAATCCGCCCTGACCAATAGACCGCCCCCCACCCAGTTCTTGGAAAATGGTGTCCGGCACATATCCGCAGCGTCCGCAATGGCTCCAAAAGGACAGCACGTTCACTAAAGACGTACAGGTGCAGCCCTGTGATTCCTTACCCATCCCACTGCTGGCAAAAGGGCCTCAACGCGAGGAAGTGCTAAAAAAACCCCCCACTATACTGATGGGTATTTGGCCTTCTCATCCACACTAGCCAGGCATCTTGGAAGAGGTGGAAGCATCCACACTTCGCCCCGCCACGCGCGGAGGTGAATAAGGAAATGTTCCCATTGATTCAACTGTGGTGATGGGGAGTTCATATCGAACGAGCGACCTTCGGATTGCGAGTCCAGTGTGTCGATCAATACTGCTGCAAAAAACGAGATCTTTCAAATAGGTAACTATTAACTTAAGAAGTCATCACATGAGTTCCTGTTCATTAGTACCCCCTCGTCTTACATTCATTTTAAGAGTCTCATTTGGGAAAGGCCGGCTCGTCTTATATTATCAGCCGCATCATAGTTTACAGCACTCTATTCTTAAATCGCTGACTTCAACAACACATTTACCTACGTTCAAAATAGTTTGTGGGCAGTTATTTTGCCCAGCAAGTTAACTGTGCATGGTGCAACTGTCAATTAATAAACACGTTCATATATTCGACCTCCTCTCGCAGATCCTTCTAAAATACCCAAGCATCCAGAGAGGTCACAAATGGTCACATTATACTCCACGCAAATATAGACTTGCTAATTGCGGGAGGTGTGTGATGCTTGTAGATGGAATCTCCGAGTCCCATTGGACGATGGTTTTATGTATCACGTAAGCCAGTTTCCAATCATTCATCATTCACGACCCCGACAGCTCATGGCTCCAGTCTATGGTCTGCATGAGGTCCCAGCACACTTTTATTGCAATGCGAGACGCAGATTCAACTATTCCATCAGCAGCATACATTTTGTCTGCAGGGGGGGATTCCAGTCGTGAATTCGCACCATGTCAATGCATTTCCACGCCCATGATCGGAACGGGAATTTGGGATTCCAACACAACCACGGGAAAAAGCTCAAATTCCACGAGCAGTTACTGTGGATGCGTTCCATGCCACTCTGAGGGCTGGTCTGTAGCTTCACTCGAACCCTGTTGTCCCGAACGTACGTGGCGCCATTACCATAGCCCTGTTCCACGATAAGATGTCCCACCTGATAACAAAAAGCACGCCACATTTGCTCCGCTTTATCGAATTTGCCCTTCGCCATAAAGTTCAAGGTACAGCACTTGTCACTTTTGACGACTTGAGCGGCGAATTTCTGCGAAGGGCCCCTCGCTCATTGGCACCGTATCTGCTCGCGCGCAGCCAGGCATGCTTTTTGAGTGGGTTAATCATCCGCTCGCTAAAAGTTTGTGAAAATAGTCGCAGGCAAAGGATTTGGTGCTCCTTTCATTTTGTTAAAAGTGAGTTACTGAAAATTGTAAGCGCAAAAGTCAATCATTCAATTAATGGCCGATGAGACGTCGCTAATCATGCAATTAATCAAATAAAATTTTGTTCCATCCCCTTGCGCGTGATTAGAATCAACAACACATCACCTCCTCCGCTGTGCAATCGAGTTTGGTGGATATTTTGGCAAAATTACAAAACATCATGAAAATGCCGTAAATTTGGCGCAGTGTAGCAACGCCTTCTTCATGAACTGAGCGATTGCAATGTTCACGTAATATTAATTACGTAAAACGAGACCCGATATGTAACACAACTGGTGTCCTGTGAGCATTGTATCGTGGTACGGCGTGCGCGCACACACACACTGTCCTGGAAGGCGTTGACGAAAGGCAGGCAATTAAGGGTTATTATTACTACGTTCAATTAGCAGAGTAACGGCGACTTCCGCAGGCTTTGGGGGGGGGGGGGGGCCCAATGGGGGGGGGGGGGAAAGAGTTTCAAAGCCTCCGAGTGCTGCGCGAGTTGGTGGTGACAGACGGGGTGACTCAATTCGCTCAAAAAAGGACCCCCCGGAAATGTTTCCAACCACGGGATGCCGCGGGCTAAATGGAGTCAATGTGACCTGTTGAAGCGATCGTGCCCCACCGCAGAGAACTCTCACAAGCACGCGCGGCACTGTGTCAGCCACCACGCCATCGCGAGCCCCCCGCAATCTCGGTTCTCATCGCGCCGCCCAAAACACTTCATGTTCAATGAAGCAACGAAGGCAATGCAGCCGAGCCCAAGCCAATAGAAACTGTTACAGCTCTCGGCTCGGTCAACCAAGGCCGTATGTCGAAGTTCCCAGTCAACCTTCGCTTTGCGGAAGGTCGCTCACTCTCCTCCACTTACCCCCACAGTCAGGAGCTCCCTGCCCTCAGGCACCCATGCTGTTGACTGCCTGCCCCTTGCTCCAGAGGTGGAAGCCACGGGGGGGGGGGGGGGGGGTTACCCACACTTTACCCCGCCACACGTGACGTGCCCATTGGGTGTGGTGTCCCCATTTACACTCGCTGGGTGGACAGAGGTGACTCCTGGATCGCATTGCAAATGGAGTGCGATCGCCGGTACGCCACGGGGGCAACATCCCAAATTGTGCTGCGATTTAAAGAAATCCAAAATTTGGTATCGTCACCAAGTCGGAGCTGCACTACGGCTGGGCTTCAGGACAAGGGAGTGGAACGTGACTCCGCACCTGACTCGGCCACTTGGGAGATGTCAACGCCCTGCTCGGCCGCCATGAACCCCAAGGTGGAAAAGACGACGAAGCCAGCAAAGAAGCTCGTGCCACTGTTGACGAGCGCCAGAATGAACGTGTCCCTGGAGAAAAGAACACAGAACGAGGCCAGTGTCGCTGGGTCAAATGGCGGTTGGGGGGTGGGGGGGGGGCAATGTTTCTCCTGCAATGTGGCCCGGAGGCCGGACTTCCAATCGCCCCTTTCCCAACTGCTACGTCCGAGAGCCAAGCCAACGCCGGGCCCTCGTGTAACTGGTGGATTTCCACTGGTGATATTCGCCATACCGAGCCGGAACTCAACTGCGGTCCGCTGGCCCTCCTCGAGAAATCGGATTCTGTCTTGGAGGTCAAAGAAGGGCCAGGGGCCGCGGGGGGCTAATGATGCGATCGTCGTGCGCGATTGTCAGTCGGCGTACCGTGAGGATACGGCATCACCGCATCGTCTACACGCGCCTCGACTCGTTCGTTGCGTATAACGTCAGCGGTGGGCACGGCTTGGTTTTTGCGGTGTGAAGAAACAACGCGGTGTCTCGTGAGCCACGCCGGGCTGGCTGGGCTAGGCCCCAGGGCAGATCGCTGGCGCGGTGGAAGAGTTTTAAGAGAACTCACCGGAGCACTCGCTCTGTCTGGTGCTGCGGATGTGTGTCTGTGTGGTGCGTCGGGTGCTCAGGCCATTCTTCCAACACGCTGGCATCGGTCTTACTTATCGTGGTCACTTCATTAATGTCATGCGGGCACAGGAATCAGGTAACACACAAAAGGGCTGCTCGGGCAAGACCGAGAAGCACAATGGATTTTTTTGTTTTTCAAGTTACCGTTGTAAAGTTCTGGAAGCACTCTTCAGAAATGTAACTAATGGGACAATGGATAACTTCAAAGGAAAACTAGTAAGTTAACGCATTTCAGTTGATTGTTTTCATAATTAACCTCTAACAAATTGGAAGCATTTCTCTTCAATGTATCACTGCACAATGAAAAAAACAAGTCAGCAAATACTTAATAGACTCCTTAAAATTTGTTTCATTACCTCTAAAGATGACAATTAAAAATAAAATAATAAATCTACATAGGTTGCATCTGTCACCAAAATAATAATGATTCTTATAGTTTAATTTGTATAATTTAATGTTTAGGTTATTTATAAATGACAAGCGTATGTCGACATGAGCAGTCATACACACACACACACAAACATTCTACACACGATAAAAAATGCAAACATTTCTAGACAACAGTACTCTTACATTTCTTAGGATAAAGTGTGAAAATAAAGCCCCTAGTGTTCATTGTTGAGGCCCAAGGCGAAAGAGAGTTAGACTAAGTCACCTTCATGATGCTTCGTGTTGAATGGGCCTTTTTTTTCAAACAAGTTTTTAAAAAGTCAGACCAAGGCACCTTTAGGATTCCAAGAGTGGAGTGCAAACGCCCCAAAATACCAGAAAGTGGTCATCATTGGCGGCGCAGTAATTTGAAACCACCTAGTAAACTAATTATAGTAAAATTACGGATTTATTTGCAAATTAACATCGAAATAAGCAGACGCGAAAATAAGCAGACGTGCTATGTTGTGAGTGCAGGAACACAATGTTGCGTCAGGCAATCGGGGCTTCGGCCAATCGCCGCGGCGGGCAAGCTGTGGTCAGCGCAGTCGCTCGCTCACCTATAGCAGTTGTTGTTGAAGCGGTTGTAGCTGCCGAGGGCGGACAGCGCGCCCAGACCGATGGCGTACGAAAAGAATATCTGAGTGCCCGCGTCTATCCATACCTACACGGGTCACGCAACGGGCGTTTGTGAGCGAGTGTCAGCACACCAAAAAAAAAAAACACACGGACAACGATGTTGCTGTACTGCAAATCATGGGGTTTACGCGAATTCGCTTGCTGCAAGTGCGGACGGGCACAAAGGTGCCGGTCGAAACGTTTCGAGAATGGATTATCGAAAGTTGTCGACGCGGTTGTATAAAAAGCGCGCGCAGCGTGGACTTGGTTTATTTTGGCCTTGAAGATAACAACACGATGATCGCAAGGTTATGAGAACAAAACCCTATTAATTTATTTACGCCTATTTTGAACACTACGAGTATTATACATTAATGCATTGAGTTTACTTATGTTGGGGGCGGAGGGGGGTTTAACTGTGGTATTTTAAACACAGTAATAAAGAAAACAGGGAGCGAGGAAAGAGGTAGCACAATGGCGGACGCATTGCGCTGTAAAACCAGCAACCCGTAGTGCCACTCCCGGCCATGGCTAAGATTGCCTCCTTCCCCAACTCACATTGGCCAGCGTGGGGAAGTATGGTCAAACAACCCCAATGAAATGACACAGCGTGGCATGGCCTTCATCCAGCAGTGTAATGACGAAAGGGGCTGTATATTATTATTTTAAGTTGAATAGTAAAATAGCTACGCGTCTGTGTGTACCATTCAGATTCCAACCTCCCAACTGTTTTGACTGACCCTCGCATACAGTGCTCATGTTGAGGTCAAGAGGTCATGGCCCACACTTGGGGTGCCTCCATCCCTCACTTCCTTCCTTTATTTTGTCCCCACTTACAATGTCTGTGTGTGTGTGTGTACGTTAGTTAGGGCGATTGTGTAGGTGCTCGCTAACAGCATTTGCCCCTACAGTCTGTTAAGGCTATATGATGAAGCTTTGTCTTTGTTAGTTAGGGCAACTGAGCGATGATGGAGTGTGGCATTGCATTATATTTGCAATGCTTTACTTTGTGCAGATACCCAAAAGTTGTATTAATACCTGTCCAGTGACATACTCGTGTGAATTTCATCACTTTAGATTACTTTTGTAACACAAAATAACTGATAACTAAACATTTATTTAATTCCATTCAAAATTATGTTACTGTTTCTGACAGCAGTGATTCATTGCAAACGTTAAGGCACCTCAGAATCAGAATCTGTATTTATACTGGAGGAAATCCGATGACATATGAAGCTCATTTTCACAACTGTTCAGTAGGGGCGGGTCAGAGATTTACAACAACAAACAATACAAAAACACAACACTCGAGTACTCCGTCCTCTGTAAACTGCTGCGTGATGCATTTATAGTCTACATGGAAACCTCGTGTGCATGCAAACCTGAATATTTTAATTATGAAAAGGTCAGATTAGTCAGATGCAGGGCTTAAAGTATTAGTGAGTCAGCCATAGACACCTGTTTTCTTTCGTGCATGTGTGCATTGGCCTGTTGCCCCGGCTAGCCACGATGGAAAGTGGCAGTCACAAACATGGAATAACACTTACACCCACACAGTCACGAAAATAAAACAACGCGTTTTTATTTAGTTTCAAATGCTGTGCTATTAGATTTAATGGCAGTGTAATGTTCCATTTTACATTTCAGTTATATTATTCCAAAGTGGTGTTTTATTCCATTCATATGCAGTCAAATTTTGATTTAAAGCTTTCGTGACTGCAGGGATTCATATTCTTGGTTCTTTCGGTAAAGTCACGTAGAAAGAACCAATAATACAATCTGCAGTCGTTACTTATTTAGTGGTGGTGAATTTCTTTTTCAAATTCAATTACTTCCACGAGGCACAGCCCACTGTTTCCCGATACATATTCATTGACCTCCCAAATCGCTGCAAGTCTAAACACCGCATCAATTTCAATCAAGAATTTACATGAATTGCACATCAACACAATCATTATTGAAGCTTGTTATTTTTGTGCGTAGGACGGTTGAGTCCAATAAGTGTGAAGCAGTTTTTGTGTTCAATGAAGACGAGCAGAGTATATTACAAAGTGCTGTCCTGACGGCACTTGTAGGGTTTCGTTAAAATGATACTGTGGAGGGCACGGCGCTGTTCTCTATTCTCGGTCATGCCAATGGCAATATGCCCAAGAGCTAGATGCCAATGTCGAGCTCTGTTAGCCACGAAAGGGATTCAGGAGGCTTTGTGGAGTTCTGCTACTCCTCTGTTGACAGAGACAGCCTGCAGCGGTTTTCCAATACGATCCATAGCTTAGGTTACATGGCCATAGTCGCACCGTGCCCTGTCCATCATTTTCCATTTATGACGGCGATGTGTGCATTGGCCATTGGACTAATCATGGGTTCAACACTAATTACCACAGCCCATCTCTCTTCAATGAGACGCTCCTGAAAACCTGTACGCAGGTTAACAGCCAAATCGCTGTGTCATTAACTAGCCGTGAAGATCATGGGACCTCCTTTGCCAGTACCAAAATATACTAATAGGGTTTTTCCCCTTTTTTTCTGGCAACAAAACTGACACCTTTTGCACAATTCAAAGACAACGCACTATCAGAGTAATGAGAGGCTCGGGGTGAGCAGCTACATCATGGGACCTCCTTTGCCAATACGCCTTTTGGCGTCATCTGGTCGAACACCATATGAGACTAGGCTCTAAAGAAAGCTCTCTCTGGTGTGGACCAATCAGTTTCAAGGACAATGCATAAATGATCAGAGTATTGTTTTTTGTTTGCATTTGACTGCAAGTATTGTGGTTAATGTAAACATGATTCCTTGCAAAAGGTGTCAGTTTTGTTGCCAGAAAAAAGGGGAAAACCCCTATTAGTATAGCCGTGAAGAGTATGTGCTGTCAATGATTTGTGATGGCCACGAAGGATGATGACAACAGTGGTGGTGATGGTGATGATGGTGATGATGCTCACCTGTGGCTGCCCGAGTTTGCTCCAATCGGGTTTTAGGTAATACATAATGCCATCATAGGATCCTGGGAGCGTCATCCCATTGATGAAGAGGATGATGAGAACCAGGTATGGGAAGGTCGCGGTGAAATAGACAACCTGTAAGCGAGAGCACCCAGTTACGCAACTCCGATCCTTGCTGTGCATCTCAAGCGAGATTTTCACTACATTAGATGTATCCCCAGGAGTGCACTAACGCACACACAGTCTTGACAGCATTTAACAAATTAAAAATTAAAGTAATCCATATTTCTAAATACCAGTGTAAAATAACATTTTTTAAAATACTACCACAGACTTTGTAATGATATAGATATGTGCTATGTACTTAACAGCATGCAGTAAATTCACTTAAACGTCAGGTTATTATTATTATTGACGCGCAGAAACGCTGATGGGAGTTGGTAACATTTCTGATTATTTTAGTTTTTTTGCAATGAAATGGATGCCCATCGTGATCTTATTAGGTGTGCTTTTGTTGGGAGGCCCATGGGGTACGGCCGCTAATATTGGGGGGGGGGGGTTCAGAGTGGAACGTAGAGAACTCATCTGTTCTAATTCGGGGGGGGGGGGCCCGCGGCAACCAACCGCAACGCGGCACGCGCGGCAGAGTCTTGAGCAAACGTGGTCGCTGCAAACGAAGGCACCTTTTGCAGAGTTTAAATCGACCGACAAGAGCCGCCCAGTTTAACACGTAGGCCTACGCAACCAATATCATCCATAATACAGTTGTTTTTAGGGGGGGTTTAGATCGCGTAAAAATATAAATGTGTCGTTAAACCCGTCACGTAAACGGAATGTGCCAATTCGTTACTAGTACAGCGCACCGGGGTGTTGGAAAGCCAAGCCACCCGTTAGCCAAGCCAAAGACGACACATTGGCTTTCGTCTGCAATGTCATTTATCGTCGTGAACTGCTTCATGGTCGTGGCGACGCATTCAAATGGCGGGGGGGGGGGACATTGTGCTGACCTACATGGCAGCGTACTTAGGAGGTGCTTTAGGCATTAACCCAATACCAGTATTAACCGCTGTATGCCAGCCCAAGATCTCATGGTGGTGGAATTACAACCGGAATAGGTGGCCCTGATACTATTTTCGAAGTGGTAGTGACCCTAAAAAACCTGGTCTCATTATCAAACACGGACTGTGATCCCACATAGTTTTAACTGACAGCAGGCAGCATGGCGATAGCCCCCTAGACGTATGTGGCAAGCGTGTTGATTGCGTGTGTGTGAGTGTGTGAGTGAAAGGGGGTGGGGGGGGGAGAAGAGGGTTACGTCTTGAGTGCAGAAAGAACATTAATGCTAGAATCCTCAAAAGGAGCTAGATGCCGTGTAAAGCAGAGGCTGTGTGTGGCACAAGGCACCCCCGTAAGCAACCCTATGATGAGCACTCGTGTAAAAGCACAGCCGATGAGCAACCACTAAGTGTTTTTGACCCTCCCCAGCCCCCCCAGGCCCTCCCCCCCCCCCCCCCCCCGCCCACCCCACAGGATCAACGGTACACACAAGAGGCATCGTGTGATATCCAATAGCGTTGCAGTTACTAAAGCATACAGGATGTAGATGCAGCACCTCAACAATTAAACGCAAGCCGAAAGCGGAGGAAGTCCGTCTCAAAGTTGAGCGCGTGAGCAGGAGTCAGCCATGTTACACGGATTCCAATCCGCTACGTGACTGGCCCACTGCTCAGAGCTTAAAAATACAAAAACAAAAAAATACAACACACAAGACAAAAAAACAGTATTTTTTCTTTTCTCTCTCTTTTTTATCTCTCGTTCTCTCTTTCTCTCTCTCTCTCTTTTTTTTAACAGCCCTCCAAGGCATTCGATGCAGCAGGACAGCATGCAACAACTCTCTCGCGAGCGAGTCACCTTTCCCGTGGACTTGACGCCCTTCCACACGCAGAAGTACACGAGGAGCCAAACGGTGACGAGGCACAGCAGGAGCTCCCAGGACACGGAGCCCGCGTCGCCGAGCCCGTTGGAGATCCGCAAGACCTTGCGCCTGAGAGAAGCGCAAGCGGCGTGCGTCAAGGATGGGCCTTCCTTTCCACGGAAAGCAAATCGATACTGTTTCTACGACATCCCTACCGAGACGCACACATTAGCCCCTCTCGGCCAGCGACGGCTGACTTAACCGTGTTTTGTCGCTCGCACCGATCGCTCAGGCGTGCGTACAGACGAGCTCCGGTGCAAGGAGGTAAATGGTTCTGCCCCAGTCTTCGGGAACATACAGTACGGGGGGAGATTAGCCGAGATCCGACGGAACCGAACAAAAAGCGATTTAGGAGTTCATGGAAACGAAGACAATACATTTCTTCCAAAATATGTTTAAAAAAACATTTAAAAACATATACTGCCATTGGCCCTCACGAGACACTACTACCCCATGCCAAATGCAATTAATTCTTGCCCTCACTAGATGCTATTAGCTCTCTCTCTCTCACTCGGTGCTACTAACCCTTGCTAGAGACTGCTACATCCGGCTATTGCTAGACACTCTTCACTCATGTTGAATGCTATTAACTCTAAATAGACGCGACTAGCCCATGCGAGCCACCACTAGCCCTAGCCCTCGATAGACACTTTTATCACTCACTTGGTAACGTCAGACCACCCTGATCAGCAATCACGCAATGGGTTCAGCTGCGGTTCTGATCGATGCCTCTACACCACCTTGATTACATTACGCCTAATGGTGTTTGTGCACTAGTGTTGATTTTTTTTTCCGCCAGCTATCATCTGGGAAATTTAGCAGCAGCGCATGGCCGTGATCCTTAATGTCCCCTCAAGAAGGACCCTGAAACGCCACCCCACCCCCCCACCACTTTATGCCTTGACGTGACATCACCGTCAGCCTCCGTAAGGCTCACAGAAGTGAATAACGATGCAGGAAAACAGGCCCGTTTATGGCAAGTATAAAACTGAGAGTGTTCACGGCCACACACGCACGTCCGGTTACTTCCATTGCCGGTACGTAATGGCCTACGAGGGGCGCCGCAAAGAGTTTAGAGAAACTTATTTTAAACGCACGTACAAATTTGAACAAAAGTTTCACCGGGAACAAAAAAATCCGGTTCCGAGCCGTACATATTTCAGGTTGATTGACACGCGACTAGCAGTATTTGCAGGGAATATTCAAAATGTGGACACCCCTCGTGTGGAAAAATGTGATCTATTGAAGCGAATTCGGAAGCAGTTCTGTGACATCATCTTCCGTGGCCGTCAATCTGCCGCAGGGTGGGCTTGATGCACCGCTATCGCTGCCGAGCTGCAAACTGAAACGCCTCCGCCTCGTGCCACGACGGCGCCGTAGAGAACGAGGTTCAGGATTAAAAAGGCGAGAGAAAAGGAGGGAAGTGACCCTTGCGGACAAGCCGCGCTCACACCTTCGGCCCTCGTCGCAGCAGTTACCCCACGGGACTCCCCATTAAGCCTGGCATTATACATTAGCGCCGTTTTATTTTTGGCACGGTACCTCAATTCCCGAAAACCTTTTGACCTTCCCTCATATAAGCAGCTGTAAATGACAGGGGACGAATTCCACCACTTCTCCTCCCTCCACTCCCTCAACCACCACCCCCTCACCCCCCCCCCACCACTATTCCAGCGCGCCGGCGGAGGCACGGCTAACGACGTCGGCGCGAGACTCGAGGGAACGCGATCGCTCCATCGATTGCAGCGGCACGCCGCACACGTAGCGGCCAGCCCTGTACGCGTGACCTTTTTTAAAGGGGGGGGAGGCATACAAACTCGGGGATGGGGAGGAGGGGCCCCGACACAGTCAATGTTAAAGCGAAACATTAAGCAAACGTTAAACTGTAAGCATAATGAGCGACGATACGATCTGCTTTTTGTCTACGGTGCATTCTGCTGCTGTGGCTCTCACTCTCCTTCGTGTCCACGTGAGGAAAGGCAGCAACGCTCCATCAGCCTCTTGATTCGACTAATTCAGAGTATTTTGGCTGCTTTAAATGTCCACGTGATAAGCCACTCCGTTGAGCTACCATTTGTGGCCAGGTCGCTTCTGAAAAACATCTATATAGCTCAGTGGGCCTTACCTGCTAAAATAAAAAGTTGCATTTTTTTATAATTTATACTTTTATTAAATTTTGTCCAGGCCCCTCTAGCTATTGCAGACAGCCTGTATGTCAAATTAAACAGGAGATCAGTAATTACCAGAGCTGCAAATGGTGGGTGCAAGAATTCAGAAGAGGACACTAAATAAACCTCCAGCACCGCCCCCCCCCCACCCTCGACGCTACAGGGCCACGTCGCGTTCAACGTTCAGCATGTTCCAGGTTTCCCGTCGCTTGACGTCGAGTATGAAGTGAGACTTGATGAGCGGTGAGCCTTCGAAGACACGAAATGTTCCAACTCTTAATTCTAGATTTGAAGCTTTCGTGACTGCAAGGATTCATACTCTTTGGTTTTTTCGGTTAAGTCACGTAGGTAAAAAATAATAATAAAATAATAAATGAAAATAACAGCCAAATTTACTGTATCAATTGGCTGTGACGGTCCCACCTGAAGACGGAGACTTGTGTTACCTCCAAAACGTGGTGATTTAATCGAGTTATTTTCATTTATTATTATTTTATTATTATTTTTTACCTACGTGACTTTACCGAAAAAACCTAAGAGTATGTTCCAACTCTGTCCGCGAGGGCCAGTTTTCCCAAGCCTCATTACCAGGGTCTTCCCATGCCCGGGAGTTACACAGGTTGCCAAGCTGTGCACTTCCATACACATTTACTGCATTGTCACCTTCAAGACAATGGGATGTTTTTCAACAAGCAATGTCCTTCAGAATGTGTTCACGGACTTATTGTACGTCTTGTACCCTGCCTGACATCGGTAAAAATTAAGACAAATGACGCCTTGTGGCTTTTCATCTCCGGCCGCGTTGGAATTTACTGCACTGATTAACGGATCCCACACAGCGGCAAGGAGCAGGAATAGGCTGCCTCCGCTTCCTGCAAATGGGTCAGGAACTGCTTAATCAAAAAAACATTGTCCTACAACTCTCCTGGGTGTCTTAATCGGTGATTCATGTTTAGATTAATGCAGGAATGCACACGTGCTTTCCTGTACGTGCACTTGCTCATGCACAGTGACCACACATGAACGTGTCAAACATGCCCATTGACCAATTTGTTTTGGCTCCGATGAATTGACACCACATGGGAGAGGCCTGTGATGTAGGGCTCTGCACGGCAGCCATTTGTGTACAGAGAGGGACCACAGCGCTAGACCAGCAGGAACATTGACATTCTGGGTTCCTCTATTCTATATATGTTCTCTGTGTATTCTCAGTGTCCATTAGGACACACCAGTCCTTGTGGAACATTTTTTAGCCTGGTGTCGAGACCTGCAACAGCAAATGTTCGCACTTTGTAAGTTTAACATTGATGAAGATGACGGCGACGACAGTGAAAGTGCGCTTGGGCAGGTCACGCCGCAAGATGAGAAGATGGCCAAAGGTCAAGAATAATGGGGGGGGGGGGCAGTCAAGGAATGGAACGTTCTGAGACTTCGGTCCCACTGAGCAGATGGAGTGATGGAAATCAGCTCACGTGCGAGGTGCTTGGTAGATGATTGCATCGCAGGATCGTGAGAGATGTCAAGAGCCTTTGGGAGGCCTTCATCCAACAGTGGATTGATAATGGCAGATGATGATGGTGGTGGTAATGATGGACGAGATTAAACGCGGTGACCGCGTAGAATAAGAGGGTTAGGCGAAAGAGATTAAAATGGCTCAGAGACCTCTAGCACCCACTCAGGAGTGCAGTAGGGACATGCACGCTCCGTGGAACCGTTCACCGCAGGAGCGCCAATCCCATCGGTGTTTATTCCGGGCTGAGCCTCTCAGCGGTTGGGCTTAGGCACTCTATGGGAGGCTGCTCTGACTGCACAGCAAGCACAAGCCGTGGTTCTCTACGATTAGAGCATGAGTTGACACTCGCTTGGGTGGGAGACCACACTTGAATGACAAAGATTATTGACCGAAGATGGAGACTGTGATAACCAAATATAATGATGAACAGTGGAGGGGTGGCGCAGTGGTTTGCGCACCACCCTATGAATCTAACGAGTTTGATTGCTGACCATGGCTAATGTCAGTGGTGGGTAATATCTGAACCAGTCCTGGGTCCTCCCTTTACGAACTTGTGAAGTTTGGTTGACGAAGACCTTGTACACTGTTATTGTCATTATTGACAAACAATGATTATGTTTTTCGTTTTACTGGGTAATGAACAATTTCATCATGTTTCAATGCACGTGAATAAATTACTCGCAAAATATATGCCGATGCCATGTTTAGGATCATGCAGTGAACAAAACAGTAATAAAACAGCGAACTAAACAACACGAAAAAATACATAACACGGCTACACACCCAAGCGAGACGGCAAAACGGACGGAAAGAGGTCAAAAAACTTACTCCCAAAACTCGACGACGGGGGAGGTCAAGGCCCCCTGGTTCATGCACTCGCTCTGGTTGGTCGTTCCGTTCGTGCCGTTCAGCAGCAGGCAGTGGCCCGCCCCCTCGCTGCACGTCGCCGTGTTCCAGGCGTTTCCGCAGGTGGCCCAGGGCAGCGTGGTGGCGAAGCAGTGGATGAAGTAGTACAAGCCCCAGGTGAGCACCAGGATGTAGTAGGTGTTGCAGAAGAAGACGATCACCATGGAGGAGAGGCCCAGGCCTGCAACGGAACGACATCACGACAAAGATGCATGCCCCCCCCCCCCACTACCGCGCACGAGCGCCGATGATTCTAGTTTGAGGGGAAGTCAAAGCCCAGAGTGAAACTCTATTTGGCTCATCTTGTAGATCAATCGTTAAAAAATATTTTTTTTATAAATATATAGGTTTGATTAAAAAAAAGTAAGTTGTACTTAAGTGACCGCGCTTAATTTGTGTTTCGACGATTTACCGTCTAAATAAATCTGACCATGTCTCGCACACCCAGAAAGGGCATCTCGCACCCCAGGTTAAGAACCGCTGTTGTACATAGATAGATAGCTACAGACTCACGCTGCTCCCCTTTGGAATTCCCTTGCGTCATCTCTATTCACGAACTCTTATTGTGACGTTGCTCATTACGTATGTTATACCTTTTTTAAAAAATGCAACGATAAACACCCTTCAAAACTATTATTCTTTCGTCCTGCCATAGGGAAGAAGAAACAAGAGGAGTATACCTTCATTGCCGCTGGTTGTTGGAGGTCACTTGGCGTTTTTTGGGGGCTGTGCTTAACAATCGCAATTTTTATTATATTTATTGAAAGCTGCGTGCCCCTGGGCTGTCCGCCAAACAATTTGAATTGCTCTTCTTGGTTCTTTCGGTAAAGTCACGTAGAAGGGAAGTAATAAAATAATAAAAATAAAACATAATAAAATACAATTCTCACGACGTTTCGGCCACAACGCAAGCAGCCGTCCTCAGGTGAAGACCAGGTCTGTCGGGGAGACAGCGTCTGAATGAACACCACCAAAACGTCGTGAGAATTATTTTATTATGTTTTATTTTTATTATTTTATTACTTCCCTTCTACGTGACTTTAGCGAAAGAACCCAGAAGATGAATCCCTGCAGTCACGAAAGCTTTAAATCGAAATTTGAATTGCTGTTCATCAGTAAAAAGACGTAAAAAACACGGCACGATTGCACACTGACGCACTCAAACGTATGGGCGTAATATCGTGTTAATGTCACTGAAGTGCTATGGCGACATGCTTGACCGTAAACTTTGACTTTAAAAGTCTTGTTTCTCATGAGTAAAGCGTAAAACTCACGCGAGACAGCCAGAGGAAACACTGAAAGCATTTACAAAATAGGATCTGCGTTTTACATTATGGTTTCTTTCACTGCGGTCCCTGGCCCCGAGCCACTCGGTGTAACCGTAGCTCGCGTAAACACGGGGTAGTCGACAAATCCGTAGAAGTGCATGTCGCGCGTGTGTGGTGGGGCAAAGCGTCGATATTACCACCTCTTCCGAGGCAGCTGGCCAGCGTGGTAGAGTATTTATAAGAGTTCGTGTTCAAGAAACGTTCCCTCGAGTGGAATCCCTTCCGCCAGCAGTGGCACAAACAGGCAGTTGCAGGGCTGCACCTACACCCCTATTTACATTTTACCCTGAGCTTGAAAATAAAAACACAAAATGTGAAAATGCATTTAAAAATAAGTCCAATCCAATTGACAGAATGCTTACCCATTACACACCAAGTGGACACAAACGGCAGCCTGTTCCAAATTCAAATGCGCTGCACAAACAGACTCGGCGGGTTGACCTCTTCGCGAAAGCCAAGCCTTCTCGCCAAAACTGCATCGCAAGCCTCACAATTGGACCCATTCAAGTCCCGTGCGCATGGCCCCGTAACACGAGCCTCCGCTAAATGAACACAATCAAGGAAGACTCTTTGACTACGTTTCCAAATTATTAATTTCGTTTTTTTAAACGTCGTCTATGAGAATGATCAATTTGATACCAATAAATTTGATACCTTTATGACGTGTAAACAAACGCCGCTTATCTGACGGCAGGGCTGTAAAATTGGCACGTTCGGCACGTACTCCGGTGACGCGTCGGCAGTGAATGACCCATTTCACCGATGTTTTGATGGCGGTGTTGGATCAGCCTGTGCTTTTCCAGATCGCATAGGGAGCAGGTATATATATTACGCAACATTACTACATCAGCACTTCAATAACATGCGCCTTACCATCCCCCTGTTATTTTTCACAGCAGAGTTAGAACCTCATGTGCTGCTTTTTTTAAATCTCCTACCTAACCTCTTGTTTTCAACTTGTAAAAAAATATTTAAAAACACGTGATGAATGCCTGCCTACCTATGCCGACCTACAAAATCATCCAGAATCCCGACCTCTCATCGTATCGGGATACCGTGCTTGGATGGGTGACCACTCTGCAGGCCATAGACATATTTTTTGGTTTTTTCGGTAAAGTCACGTAGGTAAAAAATTTAAATTAATAAAAGTAAAATAAAAATAAAATAAAAATCACGACGTTTCGGAGGCAACACAAGCTTCCGTCTTCAGGTGTAACCGTCACAGCACGATAGCTGTATCAAGTGAGAGTGACATATTGACATAGGCAGCTCTACTTTGGGGCTGTGTATGGGGCAGTAGAGGGCAGTGTAGGATAATCCATTGTACAGTCCTGCACTGAGATTCTTTGTTCCAAAGTCTATGCTCCCCGCCTTTACCAACCCACACTCACCGGCATGGTTAGGTATGGTCAAATAAACTTTGCAATCTGAAATCTCTTTTTGTGGGGGATTGACAAAGCAGGTTGTACAAATAATTGTGCTAGGTGGCCCAAGCCACATATTTTACACCAGCTGTAAAATGGTAATGAAACTTCCTGCAAAATATTTAGACGCTTCAGAGACAAATGAATGTTTCCATCTCTATTCGTGTGCCCGCAAGCCAAATGAGAGGGAGGGGAAAAAGGGACACGTGGCTTAAGGGGACCTCAAGCTCAGGGGGAGGCCACCAAAAATTTAGATTTTTTTTTCTCAATTTTCATGAACATTTCGTGAGTACTTGTACTCCTGTGTAAATAATGCCCTTGTATCTCCAGAAAATTGGCTTCCATTTAATAATGAAATCGACTAATATAATCAAATTATAAATTGCAATATAAAAATACGCTTAATCGTGCACTTCGTAATTATTATAACACTTGCCTTTGACAAAGGCCACAGGAAATTAGGAATGGATGGGGCGCTCAGTCACAACATTATTGTGTACAAGGGCCCCCGACATCATCTCGGCAGGCCTGCTGGTGTGCAACGTGTTCAATGTCATACCCTGAAAGATGGGGGAGATATTCCACACCCCGATGCTGCCTTGTTTCATGAACTGTCCGAGAGCGATCTCCATGAAAAACACGGGGATTCCTCCGAAGAGAGCTATCAGAATGTACGGGATGAGAAAGACCCCTGCAATGGCACAACAAAAAAGACACGAAACAAGCCATTAATTCACTTACACCATCAGAGCAATGCACTCATAAAAAAAAATGTGGGCGATTCCCACAAATTAGGCGACCTCACATTGAATATTTCACGAGCATCCTGATAACGCATATGTGGTACCATGTTGAAGATGTACACATCTGTAGTTTTTGACAAGATGGCTTGTTTATGGAATGTCAGTGGTTTTGACAAACACATAAATGAATGCACCATCACCATCCCAGTGCGGATAAATCACATTGATTGAGAACATCTGACACACCGAGCGGTAATCTACGAGCATTGCTTCTTTATCAAATTTATTTTCTTATCTGAACCCAGTCATTATTGGTTTGCAAAACTATGCCCAAGCAAAACATACCAATTATAACCCGCAGCTTCAAATGCATCTCGAAATGCACGTCTGAGATCACGGACCTGCCCTATTAAGGAAGCAGTGGAAAGTTGTGGTGACATCAACAGAAACGGCCGCGATGATGCTCGGCTATTGTTGATTTTCCTCTTCACACTTTTTCGCCGATTTACATCACATTTTCCATTGCCGCAACGCATTTACCGCACTGCGTGAAACAAGAGGCCGTCGTCACTGCAACAGACTCGTGGAGGATACGAAGGAGCCGTCGATAGGGTTTGCATTGTGTGTACGTTGAACTTCTCTCACACCATACAAAGCCAACTGTGCTCATCGTAGGTGCGGGGGAAGGACAACAGACTAAACGCAAAAAACGGAGAACGCGATGGTAAACGCTTGCACATATTCACTCTGGTTGTGTTTCTCATTTTTGTTTTGCATTACTAGGTCTCGGACAAGTAGCGATAAAACACTCGATCATAACAAAAAAAAGTGCTGTCCCTTGTCAATCGACTGCTGAATGAAGGCCTCCCCATGCTGTCTCGGTCATAGGGGTTTGTTTGACCATACTTCACCACGTTGGTCAGTGCAGGGTGGTAAAGCGGAGGTGAAGGGGTGCAAGAATATTTCAGATATCCCTCGCCACTGGTGGTGTTTATCGGTTGTTAACCATGGCCAAGAATTGAACTCTTTTGACCAATACTTGTAATTCTATAAACGGTTTAACACAAAAAAGATCCCATGCAGCCTGTTGCCATGGCGGTTTGTGGTATACCAGCATCCCAGCCTCCAGAGGGGAGGGTAGGACATTTGATTTGGCCTGCGAGCTCTCTCCAAGCATCAAGGAGCCCTGTCACTGCCGATGCCCATCGCTGGTGTACCCTTGCAGAAAATTATCTGTACGGTCGAGAGCGAGGGCTCCATTGGACGAGTTGCAAATCACCGCACCGCTGTTGCGATTCAGGGCCAAAAAAAAACCAAGAGGTCATCGGAGGTCGCGGCTCCACCACAACACGGTGGAAGAAGAGGACAAAAACAAAACCCCGGTTTCGCACTCAGCATATTATCGACACCACGTGCATGACCTCAAATGAGCTCTTGCGAGCGAGCGAGCGGCGGAGAGGAGCGCGGAGGCGTGAGCGTCCACCACCCCGATCATTCCGCTCACACGCCGCTACAGATCGAACGAAGATACTCCAGCACCCCGCACTGCGCCACCCCCTTCAACTATAACGAGATCCCAGGACCGTGAACACGTCTTTTTGCTCCCGTCCCGAAACGACGCCGCGTCGTCCGTCCACAGGCGTGAACCACACCAGAGCCGTGGGGAGCGGCGGTGTGGGCGGCAGTTGCGGCGTTTACGTTGCCGACCCGTAAATCCCGCCGCCGCTTTATCCCGACGCCGACGACAGAACGAGCCACCGTTAAACTCTTTAACGGGGGTGATGGCACCGCACAGTTGGCTAGCACCGGGCTGGGTTGCGCTTGCAATGAGTCGATGGCTCGCTGGCGGCTGGATGCAAGTCGCGGAACGAACCCGCCAGGTGCTCTGGGCTAGCTGACCGATGCGTACCGCTGGACACGTGGAATTCTCCACTGTCCACTCTGCTGCCGTGTGTCTGACATTCTACACAACCCGCATTGCCGACTGCCCGTGTGGCAGCTGTTGCTGCTGGCCCCGTGGTTAAATATAACGACGGGCATCATTCTGCCCATCGCGCCCGGTATGGCTCCCTCTGTGGCTTTGGGCGGCTTGAATGGCTAAGTCTTGACCCAGTGACCCGTAACCCTCTCTTGTCTCCTCACCCCTCGCCCCCTCCTCCATCCCCCCCCCCCCCCTGCCCCCAGTGTTGCCAAATGAAAGCGAAAATGTCACCAAACGAACCCCTGCAAGGTCACTAGATATCGCTAACCCTCCAACAATTGTAAGAATGTCACTCGGCAATTTGCCAAATATTACACAGAAGTAAACTTGACACACGATCCCTCAACGCATATCTGGCACCGCTGCTTAACCATGCACAGTGCCCTCTTTCCCAGAAAGTCACGTGATTTAACAGAAATTAAGTGGCTAGGATCTCGCGGTAAAATTGCTGAGTTGGCAGCGCTGCCGCCTTCGGCCGCCCTCCAATCGGCAGCGTGTGCCCAACGATGTTCGATGTTGGTAGCAACTGCGGCGACCGCACGGAGCCGGCCCATGGCTGCCTTCTGGCACCGCTAGCAGCTGCAGTCGGCACGCTCATCAACGATCGAACCGGGGCGGGCGGGGACGACGACGCTCGACCTCATGCCACGAGTGCAAATGGCCAACGGCAATCTGACAAAATCAGCTTTTCTCCATTACAGCAAGAAACATGCGCTTGGGGGGGGGGGGGGTGGTGGTGGGAAGGACGGGTCTGTCAGCTGTCCATCACGACGGCCCCAGCGTCCAATGCATTACTGTGGCAAACTGGAAAGTCAGCGCCTTATTTGGGCCCTTTGCGGCAGCCGCAGCGGTCAACTGTTGCACTTGAGCTTGACGACCGGGATGCAGTCTCACCAGCGGGATAGCGTCGGCACCTGTTGTCCAACAAAGTGCTCGATTTCAGCCTCCCCACCGTCAATTTAGTGTTTCAGTCCCGTGGGGGATGTTTCTTTCTTTCTTGATGGACGGACAGACAGTCGCTGCCATGGTGTAACGGTTTGCACACGGGACCTGCAATCCGGAGGTTGCCGGCTCAATTCGATCTCCCCAGCGTGCAAAGTCAGTTGAAACGATGGAAATTTCTTAAATTCCATCGCCCACACCGCACCCCCCCCCCACGCTGCCTCTGTCCACCCAGAAGTTAAAGATGGGAACAGCAGAAGAATCGACGTTGCCGTACAGTGCTCCCGTCTCTCTTCCAAGATGTTTCAGCTCCCTCTCATGGAGGCCCTTCCACCAACAGTTGTGTGAGCGAGTAGTGGCAGGGGGCTGCACACCTTTAACTTTCTTTCGTTTTTTTTTATCGACATCCAGGTTTCAGCGGCCTGTGACACGGACTCAAAGCCCCGGTCCACCGAGCGTAAAACGCCTCCTCTCATAGCATCGCTCGAGCAATTCCAACGGATGCTAAATGGTACCGGTAAATAAGCCGTGAAAGCCACCCCTTTGTGCACTCTTGCCTTAGCACCTCCTGTCCCCGATCGCATAAAATCCGCCTTTAAAAACCCAAGTTGATTTAGGAACGGGGTGCTTACCCCTAAGGGAGCTGCTGAAAATGTTACCAAAATATTAAAACGTTCTGCATGTTAAAGCAAAATAATCCAGGAGATGTGTCAGTAAAATATTAATCTGAATCTTCATTTGTGATGGGCTATTTAAATATTTAAGTAATCGATCACTCTAACGATTATGGATTTGACTCTTGGGACTCTAATATTATAAAACACAAAAATTGTTGAGAGGAATAAAAAAAAAGTCTCACCTTTGTTGCAACGTGTGACGCTGGACTGGAGGTGATGGGCGGGGCTTGGTGACATCACTGACCAATCAAATTCACATCTACTAATTTCATATATATTCCTGAGGTTACTATTGCACGTAAATGTTTTATGGCAGGCTTTCATTTATTGCGTACCACACACCGAGTGCCTTGGCATTTCAGCCAGGTCACATCCGCTTAATAATTAAATATACTATGCAATATTTAGAAGCTGCCCGGATGACTTAAGTTGCACGCAAACGCAAAAAACTAACAAAAAAAGCTTCACTAATTGGAAGTTTGCAAAGCTGTCAAGCAGCGTTTGTAACCCGTCCCCCTGCCCCTCCCTGAAAAAATCTCACAAAACAGAATTTTTAAACCACCCTTCAGAATTGAGCCATGGCAATTATAGAAAAAGGTTCTTCTCTGCGCCAGCTGCATATTGATTAGAAAGCAGTAAATGTACTTAGCCTTTAGAAGAGGGCAGGACGCGGCCTCGCCACTGCCTTGTGCGCACGACGCGGGCGCTTCACGAGAATGCATTTCACGCCGGCGGGGTAGAACGAGCCACTGACGGACATTTCGCCGTTACATTAAATGTTGAGTCAATTTGAAAATAAAAATCGCGTCTTTGTGTCTAATCCAAAATGGTAACATGAATATAGTTGCATAAATACTGTACCGTTATACCATAGCGGGGAGGGGGGAGTAATCAGTGGGACAGTGGCAAGTGCAATGCACGATGAACGTAGAAAGACTATGTTCAATTCCCGGCCACTGCTAACGTCAGTGGCGAATGACGATTAAACTGATCCTGTGTGCCTGCCCCCGCCATCACCAACACATACTGACCAGCACGGTGAAGTGTGGAGAGAGAGAAAAACATAACCAACACGATGTGAGAGGCCTTTATCCAGCATTGGATTTAAAGAGGTCCATCAGTCATCATTCAGTGTATTATTGTAACGCTAAAGAACTATTGACCAAAAAACTGAATAGACTATGCTAGCAGTGCTGCACAAGCACAACATTTAACGAAACATCATCACGTCCGTCATTAACACTGCCTTATGACGGAGAAAATGTATAGTAGGCCGATGTTATTAATGTGTTTCTTATTTAATAGTACATTTTTAAAAAGATGTACCAACGTTTGTTTATAAAAATGG